GAATTAGTAAACCAATACCACTGGAGAATGAAAATTCTATTTGTTCAGTTGTAAACAACTCCAGGTTACTCTAGGACACTTTAAGTAGTAGTTAACATTCTTGGAAAGACAGTATGATATATAAGTTACTACTAACCATCGTTACCACAACAACTATAGTACTGAAGACTAAGGAACATTCCATAGACCTCAGAAATACTGTATTTAGTCTTTAACATAAGAGTAATGTTTACAGAAGCTTCAGTAAATAGCTTCAATTTCATCTTTGTGCCATTGGTTTAAATAGTTTCTAAGTGGAAGGAATGTTGCTCAACAGTGAATTCTCCTTGAGCTTGTGCACCACAAAAGATTTACAGCCTCATTGTAAACAAGATTGTAGGATTGGTAAAGAAACAGTCAAGAATTACTTCCAAAAATTGGTAGAAGATCAGAGATCTGAAGATGTTTTGGGATAGCCAAAAATGCATTCCAAAAGCTAAGCAGAGTATTGAGAGAGAGAAAGATTTTATTAGAAACAAAGAAAAGAATATTGAAATGTTATGTGATATCTGTCCTATTATATAAATGCTGGACAATCTCCTCAAAGATGAAGAAGAGATTTGAACCAACAGAAATCTGGTTCTACAGAAAGATGCTGAAGATACCATGAACCGAACATGTGAGCAACAATGAGTTTTTAGAGAAAATGGTAAAAAAAAGGAAACTTATACTTAACATCAGGAAGAGGCAGTTGAAATTTCTGGGGCATGTAATGAGGAAGCAGGGTTTAGAAAATCTGATATTCACAGTGCAGACTGAGAAAAAGAGGGAGAGGTGAAAACAATGTGTAACATACTTGATGGGCTTGAGTAAATAGATGATAGATCAGGGTTTGGAAGAAATAACAAAACTTATTAAGAGCTGCATAGGATAGAAAGATGTGGAGGGCCATGATCGCCTATGTTATAAAGGGACACAGTACTTAAAAGAAAGAAGATCTGTGAGCCTTGGTGATAACAGTTACACTACTGGCATCCAGGAACCACTGTGGCTTGCAATCTTGTCCACAAAAATGCTGCTTGTGAAAACATCATATATCACATCACATTTGAATTTTGTTAACAAACCTTTACATATCTTTTTTTAATCATTTAAACCTTTACATATCTTTTTTTAATCATTTCATCTTAAGTAAGGCAATAAAGCCACTAAGATGCAAGTGGTTACTGAGTGAGAAAGATTATGAGAAAAAAAACTCTATTAATGAGAGAGAACAATAAAATAACAAGAATTCAGAAGATAATGATTGACATTGCATTTAAATTTTTGAAGATCAAAGTTGACTGGGAAGTAAAAAGCTGGAAGAGATTTCCACAAGAAAGAAGAGCAAGAGAAGAAACTGTCAACATAGAACTTATGGTTACATCTTGTCATTTCAACTGTAAAATGAGACCTTGCCACCAATCTAGTACTGCACTTAAATTCATAAAGTCTAGGTATCATAGAAGAAAGTTCATCAGAACAATTACCATGAAAGTATTTATAGAAAAGGCACAGGGAAGCAACATTACAGCAGTGGGAAAGTGACAGAAAGCAAGATGCCAATGGAATAATATTCTTTAGTCTGCGGAGATCACGAAAGAGTTATTTGGTCCCAGTCAACATTGGCAAGTCTGATGAAAGAAAAACATACAATTCAAGCTTTAGAACACCTTTCTAACTGTGGCATAAAGATGGCAATATAATCATATAGAGCTATTTTACCTTGCATGGTACAGGATAACTTCTCATACTCAAAGGAAGAATGTATAGAGCTGTGTACCAAGATATATTGAACAAAAAAAGTCTTACATTTCTTAAGGCTTTAAAAGGGAAGAACAATTGGATGTTTTAGCAGGACAATGATTCTAAACAAATTACTAATAAAAAAGCAGTGGTTTGAAAATAAAAAAACTCAACCTAATAAAGTGGTCCAGTCAGTTTCCTGAGCTGGACCCTATTGAAAACTTATGTCCTTGCTCATGAACTAAGTAATTTCAATGAAGGAAAGATGATATTCCATAAAGAATGATTCAAAATACCAGAAGAGTGTTCAAAGCTAACATCTACTTATAGGAAATGACCGGTGGTTGTCATCATGAACAAAAGCATTTCCACAAAGTATTAGGCTTATGATTTGTGTCGGGTATTTACATTTTTGCCTTATTTTTTTTGTAAATGTATGGGACGAAGTGATTCCATGTGATTGAAGAATAAACAAATGTAGCCAAGTGCCAAGATATATTTAATGAATATTTCTTGAGGCAGCTAAGCCTTTAAAAATGATGTGTAGTTGGGTGTTTCCAGCAGGACAACACTTCTAAGCAGATCACCAATGCAAACAATCAGTGATTTGAAAATAAACACATAGTTATTAAATCCTGGGATGCCTAGGAAAGATTCATTCAATATATCTTTGTACATATCTATATTCAAGTAAGTACCTGAGTCCTCCTGCTATCCTTTACTGTTATGAGAGCCAGATTAGTCTGAAAATGGAGTACTGCTGCCTAGTCTTCATTTTCCAGTTTCAATAGAATCCAAATGCATCTCCACGCCCTTGTGGGTGATGAATAAAAAAAATTCAACCTATTGAAGTGGTCCACTGAAAATTCATTTGAAAATTTGTGCTCATGCTCATCACCATCATAATTTGAACAAATGGATTGAAGGTGGTTTACTACAAAGTGTGTGGCATGGCAAATCTTAGCCATGAAGTTTAGAACTGGTGGAACTAAAGAATGTAGTTCGTCAAAATAACAATAGAGCAGTGAGAGGCTTGCACTGATTCACCTGTAAAAAAGAGATTGCAGGGTGGAAAATAATCCATCACCCACAAGGTCATGAAGATGCATTTGGACTCTATCAGGACTAGAAAATGAAGGCTAGGCAGCTCCTGCCCATATATGGCAGTTATACTCTTTGACTGGAAATTGTATAGCCAAGTTCCAATCCCAGTCAAATCCATTACATTCACTTATGTGCTAATACCCTTGAGAAAGGTATGAATCCTCTTCTTCTCAAAGCTATGGGTAAATAACAGGACAGACTGGATTCTATAGTTTTGGATGGCAACTGGTTTACCACAGAAAAAAAATGGCAACCTACTACAGGAAAAAATCTGCCTCGTCAGTCATGTATCAAAAGATACATGATTGCCTAAGCATGTATCACACATGGCACATAACTGACTCCATTTTCAGACTAATCTTGCTCTTGTAACAGTAGAGGATAGCAAGAGGACTCAGGTACTTACTTGAATGTAGATATGCATGAAGATATATTGAATGAATCTTTCCTAGGCAGCCAAGGATTTAAAAATTATGTTCAGTTATGTGTTTTCAGCAGGAAAACTATTTTAAACATATCACCAATGGAACCAAACAGTGGTTCAAAAATAAGAAAAATCAACTTATTGAAGTGGCTTACTCAGAATCTGTTTGAAAAAATTGTATCCATGCTCATCAGCTGAGTAATATTAACAAATTGAAGAAGATCAGCCATGAAAAATTGTCAAAAATACCAGCAGAATAGTGTTTGAAATTAACAGCTACATATAGGAAATGACTAAGGTTGTCATTTTGAACAAAGGCTATTCCACAAAATATTAAACTCTGTTTGATTCTGATTTGTGTCAGGTATTGAATACATTTTTGTTTCATCATTTTAAAACAGTGGTCCTCAACGATTTTTTGGCCATGTTCCACATAAGTATATCTAAAATCCTGATGCCCCCCTCCCCAACATTATATATAATTCTTATTATTCAAAAAGTGAACTCCTATTTATGTGGAGAAAGCCTAAAATGTCATTAACTTAACTTTCCTTAAGAACATGAGACTGTGTATATGCAATAGTATTATCATTTAATTTTAGAATTTTACAATATTTATAAAAATATTGTGATACTAATATATATATATATATATATATATATATATATATATATATATGGCGCATATGTAATTACACATATACATACATACACAAATATTTTTATGTATACATACTGTATATGCATTGTAATATTAACTTGCGCACACACTCACTAGAAAAAAAATCATTGTTAATATATCATTCTCAAATTACCCCCCTTATAAATTGCCTCACTTTCAGAATGACAGTTTTAAAATATATCTTTTCTAATTTATATAAATGTATTTGTTCAAATGTTTGCTCATATTTGCTATTGTAAATATGAAGCTGGTGTGTTTTTAGTTGCCAGTTTTGAATCTAGATGAAGTCTAAATTTCAAATGCTAAATTTTACTGGTACTCTGTGTTCACATTTCATTGCTTATTATTGTACAAATGCAAAATATTTTTTGGAAAAAAATCTAAGACATTAAACAAGGGATAAGGCTCTACTTTTTGTTTTAATGTTTTCTTGAATAGTTAGGTTGTTTTATTTTTAGTCATATAAGACATTAACCTGGCTTAGTTAAATTGTGAATTGGATCTTGTTTTTTTCTAATGAGATTAGCAGAAAATGATACCTGTGTTTGATGATACCCAATTTTAGGAAACAATACAGAAATGGTTTTGTTGGCTCTTTTAGGGATTTTGTCAATTTTCATAATAGTAATGCACTTACATGACTTAATATATTTACATGGTAAAGACTTCAAACTTCATATGTGGTTTAATTTTTATTTGCATATATGCACACAGTTTCAAACACTAAACTATCTTTGCATCTCTCTCTCTCTTTATTTTATATATATATATATATATATATATATATATATATATATATGTGTGTGTGTGTCTGTCTGTCTGTCTTTAGGTGGCTGTTTTTTATTGATGCATGTTTCATTTAAAACAACAGATGAGGATTATTATTTTGGTTTTTTTAAGTTTCTTTTCTTGTATATGTGCAACAGAGTGCATGTTTGGGTTCAATGTGGATAGATATTTTCTGAACATTAGTGACTGAGCACTTTCACACATACTTCTATTTTCAAGGTCCAAGATTTTGTCAACATGCTGTCTCTCATATTCAAATATTTTTACAACTCAGTATGACCACAATATTTCATGATGACATGTGATGTTGAGTGAGATTCTTCATTGGCTGAATGTGTCATCATTTGTTTGCTGTTTACATTTAAACTGCAATTGTAACATTGAAGAATATTTTATTTAGTTTTCAGAATATGGTTATGATTTCTAATATTTGAATTTGTTACAGTTAATATTATTTAGTATCTGTGCTTTGTTAACTAGTATTTGTTTTTCAGAAGTGGATATCTGATGGTTACATTTATAGATATAGGTGCAGATTGCACAGTAATCTGCAAGGTGACAGGTTAACCTACAGGATAGCAAAGTGGTTTTGTGTTCTATGTATGAATATATTTTACTATGAGAAAGATAACATATCTGCATGATCGTAGATCTTGAAAATGGCTAGTATTATGTTTGAAAGAACTCTTCGGGCACAAGTATAGACTACCTTGTATATAAAGAAGATATTTTAACCCCAAAGCTAAAAAACAACTTTTGGCAATCATTTTTAAATGAAATATATATGTATGATTAAAAGTTGAATATAGCACTTCTGTTAGATTCAATTGTCAGACAGAAAAATAAGACTTCAAATTTAATGCCAGAAATTTATAAAGAGGCATCAAAATTAATTTCAACTCCTGCTTTTTCTACCTCCAAACTATTCACTTTCTTTTCTCTTTTATTTTGGTGTGTAAATCCTATTTTTGGTTGTCTTAAAAGAAGCCAAAAAAAAAAAAATGAAAATGAAAATAAGCCGTCATCTTCAATATATTTTGTAAGCCTAGTGAATTTCAATTAAGCGCACCTGTCAAACCATTTCCAGGCGTTAAAGTCAGACAACCAAGTGTCAAAGAGACAAAACAAACACACAAGAAGAACAGAAAACTAACAGAAATAAAAATAGCTTTCTTCTTAACTTGTCAAATTATTGATGGTTTCTTCTTATTTCCTTCTTATTACAGCATTACTTTCATTGCTTGAAAGTAATGCTCCCCACAAAAAATATTTTAATTGGGCATTATTGCCCCCCTCCACCACCATCACAAATAAACAAAAGGATTACATATAAATTTTTAAAAATCACTCTCTCTCTCTCTCTCCTTCATTCTCTCTCTTTCTGTTTTCTTTTACATCTCTTACTCTCTCTATGACGGCCTTTCACTGTTTTCTATAGTTTCTTGATTCTATCTTTTCTTCGATCATTTCTATTCTTTTCTCTATATTTTTCTCTTTTATTCCTTTTACTTTTTCTACCACATTATCTGTCTCTCCCACCATCACCACAATTACCATCATCATCATCATCTCTCTTTCACCCACACTCTCATTTTTATTATGTCTCTTTATGATTCTCTTTCTCGGCAGGTTTATTTTCCATAGATTCTTTTTGTCACTCTCTTTTTCCGCCGTTTCTTTGCTTTTCTCTACTAATCTTTTTATTTTTCTCTCTTTTACTTCTCTTACTTTCTCTACCAGATTATTCTTTTTCCCTCACGTCTTCATCACCACCACCACCACCATCCTTGCTATCATTATTTCTCTCTGTCACTGTTATTCTCTTTTGCATTTCTCTCTCTATGAGTCTTTCATTGTATTTCTGTCTGTTTTCTAACATTTTTTGTTGTCAACCTCTTTCACCATTTCAGTCCTTTTCTCTACTAATCTCAATTTCCCCCCCCACTTTTATTTCTCTCATTTTCTCTATCACCATCACTACCCTCTTCCTCCCCCTCTCTGCCATTTTTTATTCTCTTTTGCATCTCTCTATATAACCCTTTCCCTGTCTCTATTTGTTTTCTGTAGTTTCTTGTTTCTCTCTTTTCTTTTCCCTACATATCTCTTTATTTTTCTCTCTCTTTTGATTCTCTTACCTTCTCTGTCACATTACTTTTTTCTCCTGTCATCATTACCTTCACTATCGTCATCCTCCTCTTCCTTTCACCCTCTCTGCCATTTTTTATTCTCTTTTACCTCATTTTCTATAACTCTTTCACTGTATCTCTATTTGTTTTCTATAGTTTCTTGCTGTCACTCTCTTCTTCCAACATTTCTGTTCTTTTTCTCTATATATCTCCGTTTTCCTCTCTTTTACTTTTCTTACTTTCTATATCACATTATCATCTTTTTTTCAGCAGCATCACCATCATCATTATTATTATCATCATCATCATTATTTCCCTTTCCTCGTGTTTGTTACTTTTTTTTTTTTTTACATTTCTTTTTATCTTTTTTTTTTTCCTTACACATAAATTTTTCTCTTTTTCTCAAAATCAATCTCCCTTTATCATCCTTTCTCTTTCATCATTGTTTTTGGAAAGAAGACAAGCCACAAAGATATTTGCCAATTACGCTTTAGCTCCAAGAACGACGAAAACTCGAAGCTTAGATCTTAATTTAATTCAGGTTTTTATTTATCCGTTTATTTTATTTTTTTATCAAACCTCAATTTGAGCAATAGATTAAAACAGAAATAAATTGTGATATTTTTGTTATTTTGACATTTTGTAAAAAGGACTGTAGCCTCATTCTAAAGTAAAAAATATAATGAAATTTATGACCTATCAATTTTTATTTTTAATCTTGTAATGGTGTTGTGTAATCTTATAAGAAAATAAAATGTGACTTCATTTTTTTTTTATGTAAGAGGACTCAATTATCTTGTTTTAGCTATATGTGTATCCTTTGTCATTTGAGATGGGAAGGAAAGTGGAAATATTATTTCTATTATTGATGGATGGATGTAAGATTTTATACGTCCTCTTATATTAGAATGTATCACTTCAAAAAGCTATTATGTTTTTGGCTTTTATTTCATAGTGGTGTAAGCAAATAAAGATGGGAAAATAACTGCCACCATTTATTTAGCTGGTCTAAGAGTAATTTGGTTTCTCTTCCTTGTGAATTATATTTACCCATTGTGCCTGAGATGCAACTTAGATTTCAGATGAATAATTTATTAATTTTAAAGTGTAATTCAAGGCAGAGATTTATTCTGATTTGCTTTCAAAGAATTTTTTTATAGATTTCGTAGATTTTAATAGCTTCTGGAGACTGTCTTCTTTCACCATATCATGTTTTATTATGCAAGTCAGTATTTCTTCAATAAACTTGGCATTAACTCATTGATATCGGTAAAATTTTCAAGATAAACTTATTTATGTTAAATACTAATATTTCTATTGAACATAAAGTGGAGGATCGGTTTTCTATTGTTATTAAATAATAAGCTGATCCCTCTTGGAATTATTACATTATGTCAGATTTTATTATCTAATCAATGTTTTTACATTAAAATTGTTATTGACCAATTGATGTTGGACAAATTTTCAAGATATATTTACATTAACTATTGATGTTTCTACAGGGCATAAAGTGGGGGACCGATTTTCTGTTGTTATTAAGCTATTTCTCCCTTCTGTATTATGACATGATATCATATTTTATTATGCAAGTCAATGTATTCACAGTAAAATTGGTATTAACCAACTAATGCTTGGCAAATTTTCAGGATATATTTACGTTGACTATTAATATAAGTTCTTACAGGCTATAAAGTGGAGACTTGGTTTTCTATTGTTAGTAAGTAATAAACTGATCATTATTACATTATGACAACTATTATGATGTGAGTCAATATTTCCACAATAAAATGAGTACTTACTAATTATTTTTGGAAAATTTTTCAGGATATTCTCCTGTTTATATGAGCTATATATCTTGGGAGTTTTAGCTTATAATATTTTAGCCTTATTAAAAGTACTGATAATAACTTGTTGCTGAAGATGTCAGATTTTATTATGCAAGCAAGCTAAGTGCAAAAGTTATTTACAAATTAATCCAAAACATTCAGACCATAGAAGCATATATTTGATAAACATGATATCCCGTATACCTGAATAAATTATTTTATTATTTTACATGTTAATATGGGCTCCTTTATATTCCATAGCCTTCATCAGTCTTTCAAACATTTATTTTCTTAACTTTTCTACTGCTTTGATTTTAACATTATTTTCAGTGGGTTTTATTGCTTTCAAGAGAGCTTTGCTTGAATGTTGACTGCCATTCTCATATAAATTTTATATGATGGACTATGAGTTGTGCTATTACCTGGTTTATGCTGATCTAGAAAGTCTTTCTTTAATTAATGAGGGAAGACTGTTCTCTTTTCACTACCATGTCTAAGGATATCACATCTAATTCTTATTTTTAGTACTGCTCAGTTATTGTTGGCCCTCTTTGACATACACCTGATGAAGACTGGAGAACTAATAGCGTTTTAATCATTTATATATAAAATTCTCTGATTGACATTAGTCCATCTGTCAAACCCTCTAAAATAGTCATACATTGATTGATTGAAACCAAATTTTGGGGTGAAGTGGAAACAGGTAAGCAGGTACAAAGTATAGTTGGATTTACTAGGATGTGCAGCTTAGTACAATAAATTTTTGTTAATTTTTTGAAAAATTAAGATTTATTATTTAACATACAAAATACTCCCACTATTTTAAAAACACTTTAATGATTAAAATAACAAAAACTTATTTAATAAAAATGCAATATTGTTTTTTGCATATAATTTCTTCAAGTTTTTATATATACAAGAATCCAGTTTCCAGTTTGCATTTGTGAGAACTATAAACAAATCACAAGGCTAAATACTTAAAAAAGTTGGAATTTGGCTTCAGAAAGAAATATTTATAAATGGCCAGTTGAATGTTGCATGCTCAAGAGTAAGTAATCATAAGAATTGTTTCTTCACTGTTAAAAAGGAAAAATTTTCTTAAAAAATATTGTTTACCATGAAGTCTGATAAAATTAAATTAAAGAAATTATTAAACTGTCCAAGAATCTTTCAGCTTATTCAAATTTTATCGATTGGTTTGTGAAACTGAACAAAATGTAGAGTTTGTAAATCTCAACAAAAAATGTTAGTGATAACTTTAACAATACTAAATACTATAAGGATTTCAACATATGTGAACGTATTGCAAAAAATTTTTAGTTTTAGCAAAAGTATCTTAGTATTAATCTAAGTAACTAAATTATTTCAATATTTCCATTAAAACAATTAAAATATATAAAATAAAAAAAATCTTTTTCTTTCTGAAAATAAAGACACTTTTTGAAAATGTAAGAAATATTTTTGAGTTTTGAACCATTTCACCTCAAGCAAAGCAATAAATGTCACTAGGATGCAGAGGATTACAAGAAGTGAAAGAGAATTAGAAGACATTAGAGAATGGACGATAAAGGAACAGGATTTAGGAAGACAGATGATGTTAACTGACATGGTATTTAATTTCAACAAAAAACTTTACCATATTGAATTAAATTTTATTATTATTATTATTATTGACTGAGAGAGTAGTATCAATCGACAGGGTAGGTTTGGGCAAATGACAAGCAAATATCTGATACTGAACAGGATATTTACTGTCACTCTTCATAATTCATGAAGACAAAACATATTAACACCTACAATCAATTAAGGTCAGGAACCATGAGAGCCATGCTTAGTTGTCGTTGGCAGTACATGTTGTCAGGTCAGGTGTCAGGCTTCATTGATATTTCCTTCTGTGTGAAATGAGTCCTATATGGATCTGAAGATATATCCATATCCACCACATGGTAGAGTAGGAGGGTTCTGGGGATGGAGAGCATTGGATTTGGAGAGGGGGCTCTCTACATCTATTCTATTTGTCTTTTGGTGTTTTTGAAGGTTGTCGTTTTATTGTGGACTGCTCTTCTCCAATTATTTCTTTCTGCAGTTTCCATCTCCCAATTGACCAAATCAATTTCTGTCCTCAGCAAGGTGTTTTTGAGTTAATCCTTGAATTCACAACATGAGGCTCCACGCGGTCTCTTTCCAGATGTGAGCTCTGAGAAAATTTGTTTGGGTATGCAGATGTCTGGCATTTGGACAAGGTGTCTAGCCCATCGAAGTGGGTGGCGTGTCATAATCATTTCTAGGTTCTCCATCATTGTGAGAAAGAGGGCTTTATTGTTCATGATCCAGTCCTGCTATGCGCCATACCTAGTACATCATCATCATTTTTATCAGGTGTCACACATGAAATGACACATTTTTGGTTGGTTGTTGATCTGGTCATCTAAGTAACCTCCTTACTATATAAAGAAATCTTGACTTATTTCTGACTTTTTTTCTTTCAATATATTTTTATTCATAAGCCTGATGAAAATGATTACAATGAAACAATGTCAAGTAATCTTACTGTATAAGTACAAACTAGGAGAAAGTACCATGTTTGCATTGAATCATTACATGCAATGAGAAATGGATACTCTTTGACAAGAGTAAGGGAGTAGGCCAGTTGTTAGATGCAAGTGAATCACCAAAACAATACCCCAAACCTCCACTGCACACTAAAAGTTAATGGTTACTGTATGGTGGTCTTTCAAAGGGGTAATTCATTATTCATTCTTGTCTCAAAGGAAAAGATAACAGCAACCTCATATTGTGAAGAAGTTGAGTGTATGCACAAAAAATTGAAAAAAGCATTCTAGACTTGTGAATGGGGATAGCCCAATTTTGCTGCACAACTATGCATGGCTGCATGCTTCTGAATCAACTGTCCAAAAGCTGCATAAATTGAATTATGAAATTTTGCCTCATCTTCCATATTCACCTGATATCTCTCCTACAGATTATCACTTATTTAAGCATTTTGAGCTTTTCATATCACATGAAAGTATGAGAATTTTTTTAAGAATGGGATCAAGAATTTAGAGGTACATTGGAGAACAGTCATTCATCAACATGATGTCTATTTTAATTAAATAAATTAGTTATTTAACATTTCAGAAGTGTTTTATTCATTTCTGATAAAGTGTGTCATTTCATGTGTGACAATCAAATATTATTAGATCCTTTCAGATTCTTCAATGTTTTGGTCAAGAGATAATGAACATATCTCAGCTTCTATATGCAGTTTAGAGACACAACAATTCAATTAGAACTTGAACTGTTCCAAGCAGTACTGTTACTTGTGCTCTTCCATTAATGTCAGGTATCCCAAAGGTGTTTTGTGAAGCAGATTCATGGAAAGAG